AATAAATTCTTAACTACCACATGAAAACATTTTTTTATTAATAAATAACTCAATGCTTCATTAAATATGGAGTCCTTCAGTTTTGTACAAGATATTGGTATTTTTATTTTTCACAAATATTTCAAAAACCAAACAAATCAATGAATAATAGTTTCAAAAATTTCTCCCATTGCATTTGACCATATTGTATTTAACATCTAATAAATAGGAATTTATAAGATAAAACTATAAACAAATTGTAAAGGCTAACCTCTCAAAATTGATGATGAATTCAATAGTAATATGTTCCTGATGAAGAAATGAAGAAGATGGAGAAGAAGTTGGGGTTTGTTAATGGGAAGAAGATTATGTGTGTTTATGTTAATATTTCAAATTCTATTATCTTTTTTTTTAAACAGAACTCATATTACTCAATATAATATACAAATACAATTTTTATAATATTTAAATTAAATTATCACATCATATCATTAATTACATTCACACCAAACATTAAATGCTCATAAAGAGGTGTCATTAAGGGTAATTTGGACATTTTTCACCAAAAAAAAGTGACATTTTTGCTCACAAAAAGTGAAAATGACAAATTTTTTTGGATTTTCAAATTTAGGGACATAGTATCTAGTGAATCAATTCATTTTCTTTCCAATCTTGGAGAATGTTACAATTACATATGTCATGTGGTATTGAATGAAATTGAATGCCAAAGAGGAAATGAAAAATCATTTAGAGGGTATTGGGTGAGGATTAAAATTAGATTTTTAATAAATTATGATAGAAGTTTTTGAAATGTGTGATTGAAAAGTTGTAGAATCCATGAAAGATGTGGTTAATATTGATTGTTTGACTTTGATTTGGATTAAAATCATATTTTAATTCGGACCAAACGGGGCTTAAGCTTTTCTCCATATGCAAAATGTTAATCCAATCTTAGTATATAACTTTGACACGTTAATTGATATATTGGGTTGAATTAAGTAACTAATAAATCTTATAATACACCTGTTTTTCGTGTATTCATTAAATAATTGTAAGTATTTTAATCCCGCATATTTAATAAAATACTAAGCGTGCTACAACTATTGATATTACACACACATAATGTTACATAAAACTCTCTTAACATGTAGAATTTGGCAACATTAAACATAATTACTAATGAAAAAAGTTAGAATCTTGTTATAGTACTATCCATTAAACATGAACGTCTTGGATTTGCTCCTCAATGGTTACAAGTTCAAGTTTCCTCAGAATCATTGATTTGAGTACATGGCCGTAAATTTTATGGCCCTGTGGGATTACTCGAGGTCTGCCCAAACTTGTCCGGACATCTACGGTTATAAAAAAAAAACATGAAAGTCTGAATCCACGTTAATTATGCAGACAATAATACATATTGAAAAGCGAAACTAAACTAGATAGAGAATATAAAAGTGATTGCAAGCATCAAAAGATTTGTTGGTATTCTGGATTGTTATCAACTATATCAGCAATGGTGAGCTTCTCCTTGTGGAGGAAGAGATCTTGAAGATTGCAAGGCCAGACCGAGGCCGAAGGGCCATCCCAAAGAGCTTTAGCAAACTGTTCATGAATCCTTTCAGTCGGATGAAAAGAATCCCACCATACATACTCATTTGCATTTTCGCATAACTCGTATGTGGGTAACATTTTTGTGCCTCCACATGTGAAAACTCCTCCATAAGGTCCCGTTCCACAGCAAGCATTCACTCCTTCTTTGAAACCTATATATATGTCGAATTCCATAGAGAATAATTTTCATTAGCATAAAATATAATGCCTATTCATCTACAAGAGAGAGAGAGAGAGAGAGGATTTTTATCCCATCATACCTCGATCACGAGGACCATTTTAGTGAATAGAATGCACTGATTAGTTGCATAAAGTTTCCATCAGTTCGAGGGGGGACGATAGGTGATATATAGAGTGGTGAAAATTATGTTATACACAATTGACGATGAAGTTAAAATTGTTGGAAGACCTCAATATACAAGTCAAACGTCAAACTAGAAATACATTTATTATTGTTTCCACTCATCATATGTCCAAAAAAAAAAACAATTTGATTTACTTAACCTTAAAAGCTAGTTTACATACCGTAGTTGGAGGGATTGTTCATTCGATCTTGAATCCAATTATAAAAATCTGAGTTGCAGTACTTGAAATCTTTCAACAGGTATTCAAGGTTTTTCAGGACAGTCTGGAGGGCATTATTATGTGCCATTGCTAGAGCATTTGCTTGTTCAAAACACCCTCCATCAGCTTTAGGATTCATAGCTCTCAAAACAGGCAAGCACCCCAAAGGTGACAAGCTCAAAAACCCAAATTTCCTCGCGCCTTTCTTGTACAATTCCTAGATATCAAAGACAGCATAATTATCATGAGAATGGTAATTAATTATATGTAAGGCCCATACGATAGGGTTTCTACTTCTTATAGAAGAACTTCGCTATTTTAGGCCAACTGTCTCTAAGAACAACGAAACACTTTAAAAAACTTATCCAAACATATTCAAAAGCAATTTCTTATTCTCAAAAGCACATTTTGGCATTTTTAAAAACCCTGCCAAAGGATACCATAGTTATTGCAGATAAAAACTTACTTGAATTGCCTTTGTCAAGTTTCCCACGACCATGCCTACATATTCTTCTGGATGGTGTAGTTCTTGCATCTTGGGGTTACCAAAATACCCTCCTAAATAATCATTACTTCCCATGCTAATGAAATAAACTGCATTTGATATGAGTTCTTCTGCACTGGCAGTTCCCAGTTTGTCCTTTAACAATTTTTGCACTTGTTCAAAGTAGTTTAACTGTGTCTCGAGATCAATGGCCTGTTAATTACTTAAAAAATAAGAACAAGAAATTTATGTTCAAGTTTTTAGTAAATGATCAGTGATAAAAATTCCTAACCAAACCCTGATTTGTGGTTGAAAGAATACCAGCTCCTCCAGAGGCAAAGTTAACTCCATGGCCATAATCAGCAGAGGGTTCCAAGTATGGAGGAATTAGTGGCAAGCTTGCAAATTCAGCTGTCAAAAGCTTCTTAGTTAATTTTTGGGGGTAAATTCCATTTGACATCACTGAATCTTCAGCAATATTTCATATTCAGACAACGTTTCCAAGCATGGAGAAATTTCACCACTCCGTCATCTAATGTGTCACGTAAATTGCTTTTTCGATAGCCATATTGCAAAGTCGGCATAAATGCTCTTAATATGTCAACTTACCATGTTATGGAAGTGTTAAAAAACACACCTCTCAACCTTCTAGTCTAAAGACATTAATGATATAACCTTCATTTTATTATTTTGATTTCTAGATTGCAAATTAAACATGGAACTAATACAGTAGTGGCTAATTGTGACAGATTAAACATGGAACTAACACTTTTAAAAGTAAAAAGCAAAAGTACAATGGATATACCGAGGAAGTCTACGATGATGCGACCATTGGAGAAGCGACCGGTCGGATCCTTGAAGAAACTGTTTTGACCATAAGGCTTGTAATTAGCCTGGTTCTCAGGTATGGTTTTGATGTGGTTATTGTTTCCAGGATCAACAGATGAATCTCCAAAGATGAAGAAGGCACTAGTACGGTATGATATTTCTGCTGAAACAGAAACAATTTTGAATGAAATTAGGCCTGTAAGTAGGAATAGGAAATACCTCATCATGATCATGGTTAATTGATTTTCCAACTCCTGAATGGATTAGTCCTTTAATATATAACTTGATTAGTATTATTGTGCAACGGCGATTTAACCAATGTATGTTGATTAAACTATGTTGAAACTTAGGTTTTGATGACCAAACTTTGAAATTGTCAGCCACATTTGTTTGAATGTTTGGACACTATAAAAATGCTAATCATTGTTACATATTTCTAGAATTTTCTAGTCTAACTTGGAAAACAAGAAAAGTTTGGAAGTTATTAAGAATCATCTAGAATTTATTGGAGATTTTTGGAAAGCAAGCAAAATCAAAATATAAAATAATGAAAGTATCAGAAAATTCTAGAATTACTTAAAGACCAAATAAGATAAAATAATGAAAAAATAGCAAGCAAAATCAAAATATAAAATAATGAAAATATCATAAAATTCTAGAATTCCTTAAAAACCAAGATGAAATAATGAACAAATAAGAATTTTCTAAAGGCAAGCCATCGACTTTTATATGTTATAAATAGGGGTTGCCACTTCAATTGTTGTGTGTAGAAGTATAAAAGCATTATCGTTGTAAAAGTCTCCTACCATTGTAAAATTCTATTTTTCAATAAATTAAATTTTCCTCCTTCAATTAACTTGTCCACTTAAAATTACTCCCTACTATTTTTATCCTACAAAATATATTTTACATAAACAACCAAATCTTTCTGATCAATTTACTTATTTCTTCTACCAACTATAAAATATCATCAATGGTCTCTGAGCTTCGTTCGATTGATAAATGGGCGAAAGCATATATTATGGCTGACGATTTTCGTTCATCAATTCCTATCCCAACATTTAATGGAGATAAATACGATTTCTGGTCTATTAAAATAAAGACCTACTTTTGTGAACAAAATTTATGGGATGTCGTCAATGATAGGTATACCAATACAAATGACATTTCTACTCTAACTGCTACACAAAATAAGGAACTTAAAGAGAATCAACAAAAAAATTCTCTAGCATTACTTGCTCTACAAATAAGCTTGACGACACTTATTTTTCGAAAATTATGGGACCTAAAATGGCAAAAGAAGTTTAGGATAAGCCAAAGGAGGAGTTCTACGACAGTGACAAGGTACGTAGTTGCCGCTTCAAACTTTAAGAAGCAATTTCGAAAATCTAAAAATGAAAGATTTTGAAACTGCAAAAGATTATTATTTAAAAATAGATTAAATAGTAAATCAACTAAGATCTTATGGAGATAATGTTCCTGAAAAGAACGTTGTTTAAAAAATTTTAATTACTTGTACAAAAAAATATGATCCAATTATTATAATTATTGAGGAGTCTAAAGATATAGATAAATTAACAACTGCATAATTAATGGGTTCACTGAAAGCTCATGAAAAAAATAATAGAAATGCGTTATGAAATTAACATAGAAAATACTTTTCAATTTAAAGTTATTATGTGGTTTCAGAAATCTAAAAAAGATGGGAGAAAATTTAAAGAAAATTTTAAAAAAGGAAAAGAAATTGATAATAACGGCAAGCATTCTCCATGTGGCGTTTATAAAATAAAAAGTTATTTAGAAAATGATTGTTAGTTTAAAGAAAAATCATGGTGTCGTAGCTGTAAAAAATTTGGACATGAAGAAAAATTTTGTCATTTTAAACAAAATCATCAAGTTAATTTCTCTGGATAAAAATGATATAGAAGGAAGTCTATTTTATACTTCCAATAAGGATGTATCTCAAGAGAATTTAGATACGTGGTATCTAGACAGTGATTGTAGTAATCACATTACGAAAGATGAAAGTAGTTTCTGCAATCTTGAAAAAATAAACACAAAAGTAAAATTGACAATGAAAATTTCATAGAGGCAACAGGCAAATGCACTATTGCCATTAATACAAGAAGTGCAAGAGATACAATAATGAAATTCTCTTGGTCCCTACATTAGATCAAAATCTACAAAGTATAGGTCAAATGATGGAGAAGTAATATACTTTACATTTTGAACGAGATTCTTGCACGATCTATGACAAGAAAAATGAATATTTTGTAATTGAAAAAGTCAAAAAGTGAGATAAAAGATGCTTCCCAATCCAATGGACATACGCAAACAATGCGACAATGACAGCGTAAGTGGACGAGTCATGACTGCTGCAACATGAGATTTGGACATTTTCACTTCCACGGGTTGAAGATCCTTCAACAAAAGAGCACGATGAGAGATTTACAAGTCATAAAGGATATTAAAGAAGTTTGTGAATGATGTTTGCTTAGGAAACAATGCCGTCAACCATTTCAGTTTGAAAAATCTGGGAGAGCTACAGAGTCGTTGGAGCTGTTACATACAGATATATATGGTTCGATGCGTACACTAGAAAAACATGTACTCCATTCTCTTTATAGATGGTACACTAGAATGATATATGTTTACTTTTGCGTGATAAATCTCAAGTTTTTGAGTTTTTCAAAAAGTTCAAAAGTTATGTCGAAAAGCAAAGTGGTCGCAATATCAAGATAATCAAAAGTTACAGAGGTAAAGAATAAACGTCAAATGAATTCAGCAAGTTTTATGACGATGAATGAATGGAGCATCAACTTATCGTTGGATACGCAACTGAGTAAAAGACGTATTAGAAAAACAAAATGGAACAGTAATAGAGATAGCTAGAGCTATGTTAATAGAGAGGTTTTCCAAAAACCTTTTGGGCAAAAGAAGTAAACATTGCAGTCTATTTATTAAATCGATGTTCGACCAAAGGGTGCAAGACAAAACACCAGTTGAAACATGGAGCGGCCAATAACCATCAGTAAAGCATCTAAGAGTTTTCGGCTGCATATACTATACACATATTCCACAAGAAAAAAAGAGGTAAGCTCAACGAGAAAACAGAAAAAATGAATCTTCCTATGTTATAGCACTTAATCTAAAGGCTATCGACTTTATAACATGAAAACAAAGAAACTAATTATAAGTCGGGACGTTAAATGTAATGAAGTTGCGGCTTACAATTGGGAAACTGGGCAAATAGGAAGAAAAACTATCACCATCCTAACATGACCACAAAACAGGAGGTGACGTTGAGAAGAACAATCAACCAGATTTAATAGGGCTGTATGTGGGTCGGTTCGGTTCGGTTCTAAAGAGAACCGAACTGACCCAAAACTTTCGGATATTTAATAAATGGAACCGTCAGATCCAAATATAATTATGGAACAATTCGGGTTCCGTTCGATTCCGTACCATAATTAATTTTTTTAATATCTACAACAACACTACATAAATATAACTAATGACATTTCATTCGTAACTTTTACAAATTAACATAGCACAATTCTAAAACATATAAATAACTAGCCGTCCAATAAGATTAATTCAATGCCTACAAATACCAAAAGTAGATATTAATATTATAACAACACTACATAAAGTAAATTCATTTGTTTCAAGCAACCTGTCTGCATAAAGAAAATGAAATATAAATTAAAAGTTACAAAAATAAAATATTTTTAAGTATTGGTAATACTTACCAACTATTTGATTTAATCATCAATTGTTTGACTTGTCATTATAAGAAACTCTACAAGCATAATTGAAAGGACACAATTAACAAACACAAGTAAACTAAAAATTATTCAACTAATAAGATTTAACAAAAAAATGTAATATATATTTATTACTTTTCTCAATGCCATCATAGAACTCTGTTTCTTCAATGCAAATTTCATATTGGGAAACTTTCAAGAGTGTAAAATATATATTTAATTAATTTGCTAATTTGTTTAGAAAAAAATAAAATAATTTAATTAATTCAATATAAAAAATAAAAAAATTATTTAGTTTCGGTTCTTATTCAGTTTTTCGGTTCTTGGTCTAGACTCGAGACCCGACCCAAACCAATCGGTTCTCTATTCGAGTACCCGTTCGGGTATTTAACTTATGAAGAACCGCTCGGTTCGGTTGGGGTTCGATTAGGTCCGGTTCGGTTTGAGACTTTTGGACACCCCTAAGATTTCCCATAGCAAGCAACGATAGAAAAACCAGTTGACTCACCAAAATCTTCACCAATAAAAACACAAAAATTATCAGAAATATATCTAAACTGCAACTTGATGATTGTAGAACTTAAAAGCTATGAAGTAACTTCAAAACAATCAGAATGGAGAAAAGATATGGACGAATAAATAAAAATGATCGAGAAAAAGACATTTGGAAGCTTGTAGATCTTCCTCAAGATAAAGAAGTATAAGAGTTAAGTGGGTCTAAAAAAAAAGCTTAATGCTGATGGCTCAATCCAAAAATATAAAACAAGACTAGTTCCCAAATGATACTCACAATAGTTTGGTATCAACTACACTGAGATATTTGCTTTAGTTGCACGTCTTGACACTATAAGGGTGTTGATTGCACTAGCCGCTAGAAAATGTGGAAGACTTACCAGCTAGACATCAAATCAACATTTCTTAATGGCTATCTTGAAGAAGAAATTTATATTGAGCAACATCAAGGGTACGTGGTTCAAGGTAAAGAAGATAAAGTTCTCAAATTAAAGAATGCCTTATACGGATTAAAGTAAGCTCCACGAACGTGGTACAGCAGAATAGACAATTATTTCACTGAGTAAGGTCGGGAGGAGCCAACGTGAACCAAATTTATACATCAAAAATCAAGATACAAATAGTACACTTATGAGCTCTCTATATGTTGATGATCTTGTCTATACAGTGAACGATGAAAGGATGATTGATAAATTCAAGAAAACATGATGAAAATATTCGAGATGGCTGATTTAGGATGGATGTACTACTTTCTTGGAATCGAGATAACTCCATCTGAAGATGGGATCTTCATTGCTCAGAAGAAGCATACCAGTAATCTTATAAAGAAATTCAAGATGGAAGGTTGCAAGACTATAGAAACACTTCTGGATAGCAATAAATCACTCAAAAAGGAAGATGATACTCCAAAAATAGACAATTCAAAATTTCGAAACCTAATTGGAAGTTTACTCTATCTCATAACTACAAGGCCAGACATTATGTATGCAACCAGTCTACTTTCAAGATTCATGCAGAATCCAAGTTAAGTTCACTATGAAGCTGTAAAGCGGTTACTAAGATACCTCCAAGGAACTAAAGACTATGGAATATGGTATCAGTCTACTCATGACTCAACACTACTTCGGTATTTGATAGTGATTAGGTAGGATTGGTGGATGATATGAAAAATACATCATGCTATGCATTCACACTAGGTTCCAGAATATTCTCTTGGACATCAAAGAAACAGGCAACAGTTACACAATCATAAGCTAAAGCAGAGAATATTGCAGTAGTATTGGCAACAAGCCATGCTCTATGGCTAAAGCACATACTTGAAGATATGGGAGAGCTAGAAGATGAAGTTATAGAAATATACTGCGACAGCAAGTCTGTCATAGCAACGGCTAAAAATCCCGTATTTCACAACAGAACCAAACACATTGGCATCTAGTATCACTTTATCAAGAAAGCTGATGAAATAGATCTCTAGCAATACAAGACTAAAGAACAATTAGTAGATATATTTACAAAGGCGCTACCACGAGCAAGGTTTGAATTAGTACGAGAAATTATTAGAGCTACCAAAATATGCACCAAGGATGAATATTAGCATTGTTGCATATTTCTTAAATTCTTTAGACTAACTTGGGAAACAAAAAAAGTTTAGAGGTTATAAGAATTATCTAGAATTCATTGGAGATTCTTGGGAAGCAAATAAAATCAAAATATAAAATAATGAAAATATCAAAAAATTCTAGAATTCCTTAAGGATCAAGTAAGATAAAATAATGAAAAAATAAGAAGCGGCAAGCCACCAACTTTTGTATGCTATAAATAGGGGTTGTCACTTCAATTGTTGTATTCAGAAGTCTAAAAGTATTGCCATTGNTTCAATTGTTTTGTGTAGAAGTATAAAACCATTGACATTGTAAAAGTTTCCTACCATCGTAAAATTTTATTTTTCAATAAATTAAAAATTTCCCCTTCAATTATCTTGTCCAATTTAAAATCACTCTCTACTATTGTTATCCTACAAAATATATTTCACATAAACCATCAAACATTTCCAATCTAATTTACTTATTTCTCATACCAATTATAAAATATCATCAAATACATATATCGCATTATGGCTAACTGAGGTGTCGATCTACGTGTTAAGAATTAAATTAAAGTATACTTACTCAATTGAAAAAAATTGTAGTCTAATTACCTTATTGAAATAGAATGATAGTATAGTTATCATGAATGAAATTTTTTTCAACGGGCATGACAATTTTGTCGAACTTGATTTTAGCGCCCTTTCTTTTTTGCTATGCCGATATACATTGCTTTTGATGGTAGCTTGAACAATAGTCATATCTCTTAAGCCCTCACTTCCCGATGACTATTAGTACCTGCGGGCATGGTATTGGATCTATTTGGAAATGTCTGCACATGCATGTCATTTTCGAGATATGTTATTTTAGAATTAAAAAATTATATAAATAATTTTAAATTGGTAATTACGAAAATGAAATATTATTTTTTAACAAATTAGCAAATTCTTATTTTTTTTCCTTCTAATTTTTTAATTAATTTAAAATTCTTTAATTAAATATGCTTTGTAAATTAATCTATAATTTTTTTTCAAATGTAATTAAATAATATTTAAATTGTTAACTTAACTTTAATACTTTCCGTTTGTTTTAATTTTTATATGTAAAATTAAATAAATAATTTTAAATTGATAATTACTGAAATGAAATATTATTTTTTAACAAATTAGCAATTTATTTGTTTCCTTTTAATATTTTAATTAATTTAAAAAATTTCAATTAAATATTCTTTGTAAATTAATCTTTAATTTTTTCAAATGTAATTAAATGAAGATATTTAAATTGATAATTATCAAAATGAAATATTCTTTTTAACGAAATTAGAAAATTCTTTTTTTCTTTTATTTTTTTATTTAAATTTCTTTCTTTCGTGCAGTTGTTCACTTATTTTTTAATAAATTAGCAAATTCTTATTTTATTTAAAATTCATTTGTATCCATCTTAGTCACTCGCAACAGCCAACGGCAACTGTTGTTGACTCCAACAAGTGTCAACAACGACTTGTTTCATTTCTTTACTTTGAACTGAAAGTTGAATTTCAATGCCAACAGGTGCACAACTTCCTACAAGTCTGTCTTCGTTTGAAACAGTTGTTCAACATGCAAATCTTCATCATCGGGAATCACACGTGAAGAATTAGATGACGGTCCGCTCGTTCCAGCCCAT